CCCCTCTCGTCCTCCACGCGTTATGTGCCAACAGGTCTCTCTTGCTGAACAACTCCTCCCCGTGGGGTGTGTGTGTTTGTGAAAAACGAGGAGAGCGTTCGGGGGGGTCCTGCACGCGCTGCCTTCTTGTGTCGCCAGGAGTTTCCCCCCCACACACACATTAACCCCTAGCTGCAGCCGGTAACTAACCTCTTAACTAAATCTAGTAACCAAAGGTGCGGTAAGAACAACTGTGCCTTGCTTGGCTCTCTGCTGCCTGCCTAGAGCTGTCTCTTGCCACTTGACCCTGTCCCCAGGGGCCTGTGCTGAGGAAGCAGTTTAGTTTAGTTTTTCCCATTATAAAAAACCTTTTTTGTTCTCCCCCCCCCCCCCGAGGAAGTGAACCAGGTTTAAGTGAACTCCTAACTTTGAACTTAGTTTCTCATCCTGTTAAATGTTAATGTTTTTGTTTACCTTGAGCGTTAAGGAAATAAACACATTATAATTAGAAAAGAAGTGTTTTGTTTTCCTTCCTGTGGCACAGCAGTGGACTAGAAAGCTATGAAATTACATGCCTCAGAAGTGCTGAAGGGTGCCCAAATAATTACCTGTGTTCCACAGCAAGCTTAAGTTAAGGACGTGACTTACCTTATTTACAGTTCTTATGATGACTTCAGGCATGGAATTATTCACAGACCTGAGATTTTTCAGTCATTGTGATGTTAACCTGTTTGGTGCTTCTGAATGTTTCTTCAAGATCTTTCTTCTAATTTGGCTCCTAACAACCTGTGGATTTCTTCTGTGAGGTGTAACAACGTGACATGGATTATTGTGCTCACTTCTATTTAAACTTAAGCTTTCTTATCAATTTTACTTGAAAATAAGCTCTAATACAAGGTGGGAACCTTACATACGATTATGAAGTCTTTGTTATGTAGAGTGATAGTGCTGTTTTTTGGAAAACCATCGAGGCATTTTGAAAAGATAAGTTGTTAGATAAGCATGTGTCTAATGTGAATATATTTGATATTTTAATGTAATTTGCTTTGAGTTATGTATGCCATTTGTGTTCCACTCTGCATCACAAAAGCAGGTTTACTTTTCAGCTTTTAGAAAAAGCCTTTCAGTATCTGTTTAAGTCTGGTTGTTTTCTTTAGCTGTATTAGTTAAAAATTCTCAGTAGATGTTTTTAAAGAAATCCAGGCATCTGCATTTAAGCCTTTAATCAAGCATACATTTCCCACTATTTGAGGGCAAAAATGCATTTTAATATAAAATTTAAATTCAGTTCTTGAATTTGTCATTTTTTTTCCTGTTGTCAAGCTTAATTTAATGTAAATTTAATGTAATGTAGATCTTGCCTTCCCGATATGTAGAACTTAACTGTATATACGCTGTTTTAGAGGGACGTGTGTGGTGGGGAGACATTCCTAAACACTGATGCAAGTACATTTAGAGCATCCTAAGTATGTGATAGGATATGGCTGCTTTTTCTTACTATAATAATGGGTTTAATCCTGTCATTGCTCAAGCTAATAGTAATTTTGCAATTCATAGATTTAAAACTTTAAAAGGAGCCTAGGAGTTTTTAACAACTAATAAAAACAAGTTGAAAAAGAAACGTCTGGAGAAGAATATAAAGGGAAACGTTCACAAATATTACTGGTGTTGCTTTTTTAAAGGAGCCCCTATGTCTTTTCCTGATATAGAAATCTGCGATATCACTTTGAAAACCTATAGGTGGAGTAACTGTTGAGAGCTCTTGTGTTACTTGTGTCTGGTTACTTCCCACACATAACATAATTTTCCCCAAAACAGGGGAGTTGGGGAGGATAAATGACAGTTTAACAGATGCCATGTAAGAATGCTGCAAAAATACAATTGATAACTCTGGGCTGCAATGTAGTTTGGATGCCAAACCGACTTCTTGTAGCTCAGTTAAAGCGCTTTCATTCATGGCCTGTAAATATCTTTCATGTGTAACTGGTGAGCTGGTACGTAACTGTTTTCCTAAAATCATATTTTTGAAGATTAACGGAGGCCGTTTTCCTTCCTGCTGTATTTAGCATAACCATTGAGTGACGTCTCTTTCTGGGAACATGGTTGTTCATCACTCTTGTAAAAAGTAAAAACAATATAAGTATTTTATAAATATTTTTGAAGATGAACGGAGGCCGTTTCCTTCCTGCTGTATTTAGCATAACCATTGAGTGACGTCTCTTTCTGGGAACATGGTTGTTCATCACTCTTGTAAAAAGTAAAAACAATATAAGTATTTTATAAATATTTTGCATACCTTTCATTAGAATCAGAATTAGTGAAGACTTTTGTTGAGTATAAACAAAGCCTATAATTCATACATATGAGTGTGGAGAAAAAGTGCGTGCCCTTGCTTTAGTCTTGTGCACAAAATACACATGCTCTCAGCTTTAGTTACAGTTTTTCTTCTGTGAAGTTAGAAAATCCACCTGCAGAGCATTTGTATTTGCACTTGCATCCAGAGCACAGTAACAAGTCTGCTGGTGTAAAAAACCAAAGTGCTGCCTCCAGAAAACTTTGTAAAGGAGCATTACGTAGAACAGAGGCAGAACAAATAGCATTGTTATGATAAGCACTAACAGAAGGCATGAGGAAAACATTTTGTTTTCTGTGCCTATTTTGAAAAATAATAGATGTGATATAAAATAAACTTGA